CTATCGTCTCGGTCGTTGCTCTCTATTTCGTCGCTGTCATCTGTATTGTTGTTGTTATTGGTTTCATCCGGATCATGGTCGCTTTTGGCGTCGGAGCTCATATTTGTTTTGGTGTCGGGCTGGGGGGTCGGAGGGGCGGGTTTTAAATCCTTAACGTGAACATGTCGGTACCAGCGGCCGCTGCCGTCTCGCAAGTCTACGATGACTGGTGACATCACGCGCCGCACCTCGAGGGGACCTTTAAATCTCGGCGCGAGCTTGGCGTTAAATGCGTTACTCTTGCTGGATAGCAGATGTTCGCGCTTATATACTTTTTCGCCGATCGCGGGTCGCCAAGCACGGCGACGCAGGTTGTAATATTTTTCTTGCCTCTGGAAGGCTCTCGCGAGGTTCATCCGCACGAGTTCGTATGATTCCTCGAGGCGTCGGCGGGTGGTGTCTGGTGGGGGTGCGGGGCCGCGACGGGCGTTCTGCGAGTTCGCGGGCGAGAGAAGTTCCCGGCCGTTAAGGAACGCCGGCGTATATCCGGTGGCGTTGTGACGGGCCGTGTTGTATGCGATTCGTGGAGCTTCTCGTCCCACGTTTTGTGGTTCCGTTCGACGTATTGCGCTAACATGGTTTTTACGGTGCGATTGGTGCGCTCGACCGGATTGCATTGCGGTGTATACGCCGGTGTAAGCCTATGTTCGATGTTGAAGTTTCTGAGGAGTTTCGCGAGGTGCGTGCCGTTGTCGGATATTACCGACTCCAGGCACCCGTGGCGAAGGATCACGTCCTCCGCTATCGCTTGAGTTACGGCGGGGGCGGTGGCGCGGCGGAGGGGTCTTAATTCCACCCATTTAGAGAAACGGTCCTGCATGTTCAGGAGCCACGTGTTACCCCTTTTTTATCGCGGTAGGGGCCCCATGAGGTCTACTGTGACCTGCTGCCACGGATGGTGTGTGGCGGAGGCGTGCATGTACCCTGCCGGCTTGGCCTGCATGGCCTTATGCTGCTGGCAGTTGCGGCAGCTGCGCACGTATCTTGTGAGGTCGCGAGTCATGCCAGGCCAGTAATATAGTCCCATGACTCGCGTCATCGTCTTGGCGATGCCTAGGTGTCCGGCGGTGGCATCATCGTGATTATCGTGCAGGATATCGGTCCGGCGGTTCTTCGGCACGCATATTTTCCACTGCCATTCCGGCGGAGTTTCGGTGAAGTCGAGGTCGTGTAATATGTGTCGGTAGAGCTGCCCTGTCTATATTTCGTAGTCCGGGTACCGGCTCGGAGTGTCCTGCACTCCGCGAAATAATTTTTAGTACCACGGACATGGCGGGAGGTCGGTCGCGGTGGCGTTTACCGGTTGGCGAGAGAGGGCGTCGGCGACTCTGTTCAGCGTCCCCTTTCGGTACCGGATCTCGAGGTCATATTGTTGTAGCTCGAATGCCCAGCGTCCGAGGCGTCCGGTCGGTGACTC